TTGGAAGCACGCGTACCACACATATACCTGTCAACATAAAATGCGGACTCTATATATATATATCATTACAATCAGTCTCGTGAGCACGAGCTTCGTCTGGTATTTGAACTCATGACGACCGCGGCCACCTTACAGTAGTAAATCAATTCCTAATATAGTAATCTGTGTTTACATATTTATACTGTCTTTCCGTATCCTTCGGAAATATATATATATTATTTTTATTTTGCTTTGGATCCCGTAGGACCATCGGTGGAGCGGGTTGAGAGTTTTCGGGATGTAAATACGTCGCACGCTAGCGTATGGACATTCCCGTTCAAAGCACTACTGACCGATCTCTAGAATAGCCAAGTACACTCGTTCAATCTATGTTAAGCTTGAAGATCGTATTGGAATAAAACCGAATAAGCCAAGACCATCAAATGTGGAGATCAATATCGACTCTGAAAAAAAACACAAGGTTTTTTGTTAGACTCAATTTCCGCCAATAGCTTTTAACGACTCTAGCAAGACAAATCCATACGAATTCTATAGCAGCATGGGTACACCTTATATGCCTGTTACAGACATCAGCCATCTCGTGATAAGTATCAACGAATCCGAGAACATAACATGATAATCTCTTTGCCGGCCATTGGATAAGAACAAATGCAGCAGTGATATAGGATAGATATTGACCATCGTTGACGACGGTTTGGTTTTTTTTATTAAGAACTAGATGCTTATATATCCTTGGTAGATCTACTAACATGTCTCTTTACATATGTAAGTGCAATCGTTACAATACTTATGACGTAAAAATTAAATGTTGTCATCAAACCAACTGCTACCGTATTCTTTCGTTAAGAAGCAAAGTTGTTTTTTACAAAGACCTAGCTGATCGAATTTTGAGATAAAACTCTAGGCCTTCACACAGTAATATAAGTATCTATAATATCCATAAGAAATCTGAAGTCACCTTGTAAACCATTGAAATTTCCCAATAAAGCATGGTCATTTCTATTGCTCTTTTGTATTATCAATCCATCATGCATTCACTTGAGTAAATATTCCTCCCTTCCTTCCTTCCTTCCTTCCTTCCTTCCTTCCTCCCTCCCTCCTTTCTTCCCTCCTCCCTTCCTTTCTTCCTTCCCTCCTTTCTTCCCTCCTCCCTTCCTTCCCTTCCTTCCTTCCTTCCCTTCTTTCTTCCCTCCTTCCTTCCTTCATTCATTCGTTCATTCATTCATAAGGTCAAGAATACCTTATTGTTCTATGTGTTTAGTAGATGCGGAAAGGAATACACATTAAAATATAGACAATAACGGACAATTCTTAACTGAACAATTACAAGAGGGCCATGGCAATTAACGGTCATCTGACAATCCATGAAAGGATGGACAGTCCAAAGGATTTGCAGATGATGGCCAGACATATCTGATGAATTTCCAAGAAGAGATTTCAGACCAAATTGGTTTAAATCCATTAAAGCATTAACGAAGAGTAGTGTTTTGAAGCAAAATCATTGACTAACTTTCCCATTTGGGACCCTACTCCCATGTCCCTAGGGGTCAAATCAACTTTCTGAATTCAAGAAATGATAACCTGCCTGCAACAATGCTTCATATCAAATTTTGTTAAAATCTGCCTTGGCAGTAAGAAGGAGAAGTGTTTTGAAGAAAAAATATTGACTAACTTCCTCATTTGGGGCCCCGCCCCAAAGTCCCGAAGGGTCAAATCAAATTTTTGAATTTAAGAATTATTTACCAACCGGTACTGATGCTACAGACAAAATTTGAATAAAATCAATTTAAGCATTAAGGAAGAGTAGGATTTTGAAGCAAAGCATTGTCTAACTATCCTTTTCGGGCCCTTCCCGAGGCCCATAGGGGTCAGATCAAATTTTTGAATTTACGAAATGATCCCCAACCCCGAATGATATTTCAGATAAAATTTGATTGAAATCCACCATGGCGTAATGAGAGTAGTGTTTTGAAGGAAAAACTGACGACAAAAGACAATGCACGATAACACATCTCATACCAAATCAATCACCAGAAAAGGAACCGACAGAAATAAATTGAAAGAAAGAAACATGGGAAACGCCAAGACTGTCGGGTAGGTCGCTAAGAATTGTGGTATATCGTCTGTGAACATCGTCAGGTCATCGTCGAAACATCGGCAACAAATTCAGCAGTGACAGGGGACAGTGGAAAGTTTTGAGTACGCTGAACTTTCCTGCCATTGCGGACTCCGGTGACCCGATAGGGTACCGTATTGGTGCGAGTGAGATACCGTGCATATAGTGCTGCCGACTTACAATTTGTCTTTGTAAACCTTCCTCTTTCGTAAATTCTTTCAATGCCAAACTCCGCTGTCATTATCAATTTTTGCTAATCTTTCTCGTCAACTGTCCTCAAATCATACAAACCTCCCTCGTAAACCGTCCTCAGTCATACAAATCTCCATCGTAGACCGTCCTCAATCATACAAACCTCCATCGTAAACCGTCCTAAATCATACAAACCGTACACATAAACTGTCCTCAGTCGTCCAAATTTCTTGGTCAACTGTCCTCAATTACACAAACCGTGCTCCTCAACCGCCCCAAGTCGTACAAACTCTCTTCGTCATCTGTCCTCAATCATACTACCCGTGCTCCTCAACTGTCCTAAGTCATACCACCCGTACCCCTCAACTGTCCTCAGTCGTCCAAATTTCTTCGTCCACTGTCCTCAATCATACAAACCTCCCTCGTAAACCGTCCTCAATTATACAACCCGTACTCCTCAACTGTCCTCAGTCGTACAAAAATTCTTCGTCAACTGTCCTAAGTCATACACACCGTCGTCTTTAATTTCCCTGAGTCCTATAAAACTTCCATATAAATGTTGAGCCATTTGCTAAGTCATGCCTTATTGTAAATGAAAGCAATCGGCATAACCGTATTTTTCTGTTTATATCGAATTATCACGTCTCATTATGCAACATGGCAACACACAACACTAATCCAGATATTGTTATCCATACCAATTGTCGGCCTCATGATCTGTCAGTAACTATGAAATGTAAGTATTTGTTAAAGGATGAGAAGAAATAATGGCCAGATACGTGATATACGCAGAAAATTGGTATTGATTTTTGATTAAGATACATTGCGAATGAAGTAATGCAAATAACTGATAATATCTGGCTAGACGTTACACCCATGACGATAAATAACCATAACTTGTATATAATGTAAGGTAATGTGTTATTATCAGCTCGGTTCTGACCAGACACCTAATACCGTACACTAAACCGAACGACTCGTCAAAGTTCTAAGATAAACCAAAGGTATACACGTCGCGTCATAAGATCCCTTCTTTGCTGATGCGCAGCGTTGGGAGTTTCCTGTTAGATAATAGTTTCCTGTAAATAATATATCTTTTTCTTGTTCAGAGCTTAGAGACAAACATTGAATTTATGTCGAAGTTAACTTTTGTGATATCATAAAACTTATTTTATTGATTTGAAATAAGAAATAATCCGCATCTTTGTAATATTAGTAAATCCAGAATTTATAAGCTTTCAGACTAATGTCTCATTTTTGTTTATTCAAGCATAATCTATTGCTTCAACGAAACAAAAGGATATGAAAAAAAGTTACAAGTTAAAACAATTTATAGAAGTGCTCTCCTCTACTAATATGTAACAATTCTACTGATAGATTGTTTGTTTTCCTGAGCAGATTGTCCCGTCGAAAGCCATTGTCATTTTGAGGCGGGGTCTCCTTGAAGTAGCTGGCTAATACTTAAATGAACAACATGCAAGAGACTCGTCGCATGCCTTTCAGATCAATTACGACAGAGTGTCATGCACAGAAAAAACTCACCGCTACGGTTCGGGATCGTCGCGGCCGCTTTTACAGTACTATGCAGATACTGTTTCGATAAAGATAACGGTCGAGAAAGTTTTATGAGATGAAAGTATCCAAGAAAAAAAGCGTTAATGGTTTCATATTTGCCATATTGTAAATACTAAAAGAAAACAAAATTCATTTCAGTTGGCCTTTTGGCGTAGAAGTACACGTATTTGTCTTAGCGCAGAATGCGAATAGGTGCACTGGATCTATTCCTTTGTTTGATTAAAGCATTACGTACGTTAATGTACTCTGTAAAGTGATAAGACGAGTTTATCGACTACTTTGTTCTAAATAAGTACACGTAGATGAAGAGAATTCCATTAATTGCAAAACATGAAACCGGAAGCTGAAGTGGACCATGGGTTGAAATAGATTTGTTGAAGGGAGGCGTGTATAGTGAGTTAGTGCCTTTATCACCACCTTATACTATTAGTGCAAGACGAGATTATCGACTTAAGAAAATACATTTTAGGAAAGTTCGCTGATAAAAAAGGACGTTTATTCTTCTGTGGAAATCGTGTAACTTGTAGATCTGTACAGATGCCCGTTCATTTCCTAAATAGGATTTTTATATTCCAGAATTTTCCTAAATCCAACATCCGATAAACCTAATCCATGTCTGGCTCCAGATGATCCGGTAGTTCGGTCTGATGTGTTATACTTGAACTGCACGTGACTTTAGTTTAGGTGCACATTAAGTTATTTAAATTTCGTGCATTGCATGTCTACAACAATCTTAAATTTGCACACGCGGCTTTTGTGCGTGAGTAGGCTCTGTATCATCTATATCGACTGTAAATGCCATTTGAAGGCAGTATAATATCATAATATCAATCTGCATGCAGTACTTCCATTTCACATTACACACTTGTAGCACACATGGAGTGAACATACTGTAAAATCATATCTTTTCGTGGGACTTAATTTTCGTGATTTTTCAAAACATACGAGTTCGTGGATTACCCATGAAATTAACGGAAATAAATCGCCCACGAAAATTAAGGATTTTACAGCAAGATGTATTACACATAAAACTTTATTTTCAAAAATGCGTAAAGTGTAAACGTGCATGATACAGGAAATATATACCAAATATTAGATAAGTATATAATGCACTTACCAAGCAAGTCAGCGATAGCTAGGTTGACGAGGAAGAAATTTGCTATGTTCCTTCTGAATCTCTTGTTAATGCACACCATGACCAAAACAAGCGTGTTCCCTATCAGAGCCAGAAAGAACACGGGGATATAGATACATAGTAGAGCGATCTTCTCGGGTTTGTGGTATTCGAACAGAGTATCCTCGAACTCACTGATGAAATAGGATCCGTTCAGGTCCATAAACGGCAGGGAGAAATTAGAGTTGTAGTAATCGTTCGACCAATTCATGATGGATTGAAAATTTCAAAGAAAATAAATCCCACAAAAATTACATGCAAATAGCACAAATATGTATTCAACAATAAAGTGTTGAAAAAGTTCACACGCGAAAAAATAAAGATATGCAAGGAAAAGGGAAAAATCTCCAAAAATCTGAGCACGCGGATATTAAAGTTGTTTTTGTAATGGGGTAACTTTCAAACTCAGTCACCGGCTTGACTTACATTACTATAATATCAAACCATATTTTTAAACTTCATGTAGAAACGATTTCCAGAAATATCTCCACCAGATTCACCATAATCATGCGTTACCGAATACTAGAGTGTAAATATTTCCTGGTGGATAATCGCAAAAATTGGAATTTGTTAACTTTAAAAGTAACCACTCAATTAATAAGAGTCTTAACAAAAAAAGTTAAAATACTTGACGCAGTGTACTGGAATTCAGATAATTACACCACAAATTATTTGTAAACAACGGTCATATTTATCATGAAACAGCGGTTTCATTAACCTGTCTACCTAATGTCAACGCCGATGCCAAATCACTGCTGAGACTGTCTTCAATATTACCAACAAGCACTATCAAGTGTCACTTATCCTTGACAAGCGATGTCCAAACTGTGCACTCCATACAGACGATCACTTCACGGCAAAAGACTTTCAATACATGTCTTAACCCTAACTGACATTTGGTCTGCTATGAGAATCAAAGCCAAGACTCTTCACATTAGCCTTTTTCTGTCTTTATAAGGAAACTGTTACGTCAGCACAAGTCATTCCTTGAGCAGTTCGGCGTTTGTTTCCTCCGTCATCTCAAGGGTAAATTTGCTGGTCGGATCGATATCCAATTAGTTTATATTACCTTTAATTAATCACAGTTTTGGTATGGTAGAGTTCATCCAGTCACATGTAACTATATCCAGGTAAAAAAGAAAATAATAAATTGCCACAAGGTGGAATCGTTCTGCGTTTACTTAACATTTAATTTCCTTCAGAGGTAGCAAGTAAACATTTGTCATCAAAGTAAAATCCCCTTCTGTTGTTGAACGTTATTCCCAGAGGGGCAAAGCATTGGTTAGGAGACATAATAAGGCTAAGGTGACATAAGATGTGAATAACTGTCCAAACTATGGCGAGTAGAGGGCGTTTAAGTATAATCCCTCCGTCACATTTCTCCCGCCAACATAATCCGTCGTCTGCTCTCCATCAATAGTGTCGTCTGTTTTAACCTTTTCAGCTCGCGCGCCAGTTGACGACTATTCCTATCGCCCATTCACTAAACCTTTACTGCCAAGGTGTAATACATCAATACTGCACTCTCACATAGCTCCCAGTTAAAGTATTTTCCTCTCGCGCTCCGCACCACAGCAGCAGTGGAACAGGACAGGGAGGAACCTTGGATTTCTCTGAAAACGTTCATATTTCAACCCCTGCTGTACGATATCGTAAAGGAAATCCTAACTAATAACTTTTAAGACAAACTCAAATGGTAAAAACACATTGAAGGCCATGCGACTTGTTTTCGCATAAATAATAAAGCTCTGACATACGTGCTCTGTTTCATATATCTACGAATGAAAGCCATCTCCATTGAGAAGTATTAACCTTCCACTGTACAAAATTATTCAACCAAGATAATCTACAGACTGGATCGACCAGTGATATGAAGCGGTGAAAATTATGATATCACATATTTATGGAAAATCAATCGAATTGTCATAAATCAGTATGTATATATTTCCTATTTATATCCTTTCATAACGGAAGGAATTATGTGTTCATAGGGCAATTGTAAGAAGAAAAAAAATCCGGAAAATGATGTGGGGGGGGGGGGGACGGAGGGTAATGTTTATTGTTCCAATGGAACATCGTTTTTACTGACGATACAAAAACAAGGTAAAAAAAACGCCGACATGTCAACACAATCCCAATGTCAGTAAAATGAGGGTTAAACATTAGTAAATAAATTATGGAATTTACACTGACCCAATTAAATAGGGCAAGGAGAATAAGACTAGGTGTTCTGGAAGCATGAGGGTCTTCTGTTTGATCGCCATGTTGGTAATTTCATGACAAGACAGTAGAATGTCTGAAAACGTTAATTTCAATGAGCTGAATTCTGTGAGCTGAATTTTAAGTCAAAGTCTTATGAACTATTTGTGAACTGTGTTCAGCCTTAGTCTGGTACATATAACTTCGGAGTTAGGGGGTGGAGGAGGAAAAATAAATAATCTACCTACGTATTTAAAAAATATAGTCTTCAGTTTGTGTTTGTTTTCATGTTTAATGATAAAATAAAACTGATAACAACTGTTTTATTATTTATATCTTTATCCTTATTGTTATAAAAACCTTATCAAAAGCCTAAAATGAAACTCTCTTCGACAATTAACATCGTGACAAGAAACATATTTAAGAGCTCCTAGAAGAGTACAAATTGTTCATTCAGGAATCATCGAGTCAAGTCACGTGAAAAAATGAACCGACTCATGGGCTTCCTTAACTAATTACCATTGTATATCAATGAAATATCGGGTGCTGGGGTGGTCGAGTGGTCGGGTGGAGCGGTAGTAAAAGACTGACCATTCACATTAATATCCGTGGTCGATTCCCCGAACGGACGTAAAAATGTGCATTAGGTTTTCTCGGGTATCCTCCGCCTCATTCTGTTTACAATGGTAACACATATGCAATTTATCAAACAAACCAATACAAGGTTTGGAAAAAGAAAGTAGACACAGTTTCATAATTAAAACTTAATGAAGATACAACTTCAATTTCTGTTCATATGAATGTATTTGCTTTTTATTGTTAGAATGTCGTCTGCTTGTCTGGGAAGTTATCTCCCCTGATATTGTACAACATATAGGACAATGACTGCTAATTATACACTAAAAAGTAAACATAAACTTAATTAGGATTTTAATTAAGGAAAAAGGTAAATTATGAATAAAATAAAACAATGAAATACCATTCTTAATGTAAATGATTCACTGTGATGGGCTTCAATAAATATTTAGCATCGAATTTTCTTTGATGTGCCGTTTGTTTGATGTGGGTCTATTTTGAAATATATAACAGCCTAAACAGTTTAGCTGATGAACTGTACTTTCAACGACTAAAATCATATCAAGACGATATCCACTGTTGATCATTCTTCTCAAAACCTATTGTAAAGTTGTGTCACCTTAAATTGCCATGACCCGGATAATGGAAGCTTCAGATGAGAATGATTGTAGCCTTACCTCATTTGACTGTAGAGCAACCAGCGGATAAGAAAAAAGGCGGGGGTGGACGATAGTCTTGAATTAGCATTTTTCGCTATTTATGCGGTTTAGTATTTTACTTTACTTTTTTTAAATACATGTATATCGTAGTTCCACCAATTGATCATTCTGCTTATATGATGTACTTCTCATAACTGTGGTACAATATTTAGATATTTCTTTAAATCTAAAAATATCCAAATCAACATCTTTTCGAAGTACAGCCCAGTGGAAAATGACATGTTCCGAAAAGTTTACATAATAATGTATTTAAAGCTAGACATGGTAGCTAAATCCGTCCTAAAACATCGGATGATTTCCTCTCAAAACCTCCTATAACATGTACAAAGCGGCTTATTTATTCACAAATAATGGACAGTATAACACTTGAAGAAAATAATTGGAAATGAAAAACAAAAGACAAAAACAAATATACGGAGGAAGACTGATGTTTATTGTTTATTTTTTCTACATTTTTTTTATTTCCAGACGTCTGTCTTAATGACAATACCGTATCGTTTTGTCATCAGAAGAAAGCCCTTCTGTTTACGTCTGTAAAGCCTAGCTCTGAAGGGTCATTTCTGTTTACAAATGATTACATGCTTTCTGCATGATGGAATGAGGAGGATTTTACCAGATACAACAACCCATCGTATATTTTACAATTTAAGCGGAAAATTGGCCCAGTTTTTCAGCCACTCGTGATCAGGAAACAAGACCCTGTTTTAACTAGATAATACTTTTTTATCGCAGAGTAGATTCTCTATGCTGTTCAGATGTTTTCTGCTGTATCTCGAGACGAATGATATGTACACAAATTAGGCTTACCTTAGTCAAAGGAGGACTGTATGCGGTTGCATGCACAAGAAAACGAAAGGACAAAACTCCACTGAAAATAATGCACCATTCTGTTAGTAAAATGACATTAATTAGCAAGAACTGGAGTATCAAAATGGATCAGGAAGAATGTGTTATCAAATCAGTTATATTCTTTTTTTCATAACGGGGGTCATTATTCATTTCAACGCATCCGCTAGGATTCGAACTCGAGACCTTTGGTTTACTAGTCTAACCTTAACCAATCCAGCAAAAGTTCTACCAGGACTATATTTATACACGTCCAAAAACCACAAAGAAAAATTAACATCAAATGCTTAAAGAAGTCGTTTGAGATGTTATCCAATGCCATCGGGATAATCAACAGTCAATGCTTCATGGTCTATCTATTTTAAGCTACATTCGATAACTAAATACTAAATATGTTAAACATTTAAAGAATCCTGTCCATCCCGTATGAACTTTTAGAGAATCAGTAAGAATTAAACGGAGCATCAAAAGGCATACACATGTTGTATCAGCTGATATATACGTGTTCTTCTACACTGAAGAAACTGATAAATTGTTTACAATATCTTTACCCCGCCATGTCTAAAGATAAAAAGGATTAATAAAAAATATTTTAGGTGGTCGAGTGTCTCAGTAGTAAAGCAATTGCCTTTTACCTAAAGGTGTAGGGTTCGATTCCCAGAGCGGACAAGAATAGGCATGAGGATTACGTACCAGACCTGGTTTCCTCCAAAACAGTAAGACCCCTTACGCGCTTCAATTCAGTACAACACGAATGATTTATTCATGTTGGCAGCTTGTTTCATAATTGTTGTAAAACAAATCAAATGCGGGGAGAAATAAATTTGAATTTAGAGAAAAGTTTATACGTTATCACTGTTGAGGTTTCTCTGAGCTATGCACTTTTGCGGTATACCATCTTATACATACATATAAAGTCTTTTGATGTTTTCATGATGTACATGTAATTACGAGACATAATGTTTAACGGTTTTTGAAGTGTGTGGTGTTGTCCTGGAAGTTCTTTTTATCATGACTGATTCGTTCTGATGTTTGGTATTAAACTTCCTCGGAATAGTTAGGCGGAAGTCCGGCCGGAAATGTAGAACAGCGAGACGGGTCCACATCACAAGGGGATGATATCAGCGTCACAGCGGTCTGTTTTATGAAGAAAGGTGAACGGCGGTCAGACATGGCTGTGAACTATACTGAAGCGTATTTGGAAAAAAAAAAATCAAAGAGGAAATATACGGAGAACGAAATAATAAAATTGATCGTGTTTGTTATGAACAACATTTCTGGTGGTCAGATCGTCCAAAAGACTATTGACAAACCTATAGGAACTAACTGTGCCCCTCTGTTCGCTGACTTGCTTTTGTTTTTATACGAGGCGGGATTTATCGAAGATCTTATCAAAACAGGTCACAAAGACATTACAAATGTGTTTTATTTCTTTTTCCGATATGTTGATGACGTCTTGTCTTTAAATAAGAAAGTTATCGAGTAAGTCTACAAGTACCAGAGTTGGAAATCAGAGACAGGACAGACTCTTCTACATCAGCCGCTTATCTCGATCTTTTCCTCCAACGAAACCAACGTGGACAGCTTTCCACAAGCTGTATGATAAACGTGATGATTTCAATATGTTGGCGAATTTTCCATTTCTGGAAGGTAACATCCCTACATCCTCAACCTATTGTGTTATCGTATCGTAGCTGATTCAATAACCAAAAGGCTGCTCCCAATAATCTTGATCTTTTTTTAGCAAGAAGTCGTCAACTGTCGGACAAACTCATAACACAGAGTTTCAAAAGATGAAGGTTGAGGAAAATTATAGGGAAGTTTTATGGTCGTCATTAAGACCTCACTGAGAAATGTTCTGTTTCATCTGTTGGTTTCACTTACGTGACAATACTTAATTGGATGACCAAGGTTTACATGGCGGGTGTCGTCGATGAAGCAGAAGACGCTTACTCTTCCGGAACACTTGGTCTTATTCTCCATGAACGTTTTCATGATGCTCTGTGTAATATTACTTTTTTATCATTAGTCCTAGCTTTATTGAATCTGAGTTTGGGTTATGATTATGTTGGTATTTCTTGATGGTGTTTTGTGTGATATCAAAGGGGGCATTCCGTTAGGTAGATAAACTTGGTTTGAATTGAATATGGCGTCAATAGTAACATATTGTAAACATATATATATGATTAAATTGTTCAATGGAATATTGTTTACATCAATATTATTAGACTCACGTTAAAGAATGCATGTGCATACCGTGCATTTACCATATTTTTATGACTACGGCTTTTTGTCGTCACACACTCAAGAGAAATAGAAAGAAAAGTCTGCTTGATCCCAATCCATGATTGTGATTGGGAACGCGCAGAACTGTGGCCGGGCTCGTCGAAGTCATCAGTTTAGGGAGTATTAAGGGAAATCTAAATTTTTGATACCATATTATCATCTTACTATTCCGAAAAGGCGACTAACATGTTATTCAAAATCAAATTTTATCTAGTGTATGATTCGAGTGTGTCAAGTTCTATCTATTTGCAGTCCTTATTTCCGGCAATGTTTATGTGATCATCGGCTTCATACTAGTAAATTGCTAGCACAAAAGAAACCAAATACAAAATTAAAAGAAAACAAACTAGTCATAAAACTTTCCCGTGACATTTCCCGCCATTCTCTTATATTTGTTATTAAAGTAGTTATATTATTTTTGCTATTTTTCCAGTGAGTGAAGAATGTAGTCCCAATTGTTGCTAGATTCCAACATATTTCGATATTGCGACTAAAATTTTTTCTCTGAACTTGTCTCAAATTTAAAGACACGACCAAAAGGTACTCGAATGTTTGGTGAGAGGTACATACCACTCTTGCACGTGTTCTGTCTCAGATTGCCTTAACTACCATTATCTAAGAAAGTAGCTTATCACATGTGAAATTAATGTCAGACGTTTTCGGTTTCTCTAAAAAACAATATAAAAAACACAAACCAGATGTTCTTTTATATACATCCAATTTCCTTAGTCGGCAAACATCAAAGGCATGAAATGCTCGTTGATTATTGTAGATGCTCGTTGTTAACAACAGACGTTTTAATCCCACTGCAAACACATCAATCCTGCTTAATCTAATTTTCATTTCAAAACGTTTATTTAAAAGAAAACTTTAAAGAATTTTATCTTTCATGATCCAGGTATTGTATCATAACACGCAATTCTTCATAACAGTCTCAAGGTCGGGCTTGTCAAGCTAATGTCTTGACGTCACATCCGGTGGAACCGGAAACGAAATAAACACACGAATACGACTGTAATGGTAAATAAATGCACGGAAGCTAACCGAATGTACATTTGTCACGAGAACAACACGTATGTCAATATCTCATGTCAGTGAGATTGACGTCACATCTAGAGAACAAAATTGAAATTTGAAGCTAATTCCAAAATTTATACATAGCAGTAAATATGGCTTTTCAAATCAGGTCCTTCTGTTATTATTTCAATACTTGAAAAGCATTTCACTTGTAATTAAAGTGTTTACATTGCACGGTACAACACTCAATAACGACACGTAATTAACCATCAGTAAGAAAGGGCACACTATATCGAGAAATGCAGTCATTTTTTTAAGCCTAAACAGTAACGGACTATTTCATGTAAAATATTTCAAAAGAAAGACAGTTTATTAAATAGCCGTTTATGGTATCTATCAATTATACAGTCTCCGTTTTAAAGGAGTTCATACTGCCAAATATAGACAATTGTATCCGTAACTTGTAATCAATGATTTACCATATCTAGGAGATGAAAATATAAAGCCATAATGTAAAATGTACCTCCAGTAGTTTACAGTAGTTTGATGTTAAGCGAGACATTATTGCAAACCATTTACAATTTTAAAAACACAACACGCATGATGGGATATGTAAACTAAAAAAAAAAACAAAAAAAAACACCCCGCACAAAGTTTCCCCCGCAGAACACCTTAGCTGTAAGGAAATAATGAAATATTTGATCAGGTGTTACATCAAGAATGATCTCTCTTCTCGACAACCTACCCGTAAATCGGCCAAGCGTAACGATGTCATTGTCTGACTTTGTGAGCTTCTTTAGTCCAAATCATGCGACATGATCAAGCCAAGCCGGATTTTTTTCAAACAAATATTTTCAACTGATACCCGAAGTTCAGCAACAGTAAGTTTCAACGTTTGCATTTTGACCGAGATGCCACACTTAAAGCAAATTCAGAGGGATGGAGATATTGCGGTGTAGCTGGATGGTCATATGCAAACTGCTGTCGAACGGCAGTTTGGCGTCGCCCCGTGTTCAATTAACCGTCTCTATACACGTTTCCATGCTACTGGTTTAGTTTTCGATCGTCCCAGGAGCAGCCGTCCTCGTGTAACGACGCACGATAAGAGAGGGCGATTCGAATGTCGCATTTGCGCAACAGATTCAAGACTGCTGTATACCTGCATACCTTAGGTACTCTTGGCAGACACATTAGTGCTCAAACTGCCAGGAACCGCTTGCGTTCCGAAAGAATCATTGCGCGCCGACCTTATGTCGGGCCACGTTTGACATCACCGAGGCGGGAAGTGTGTCTTGACTGGATGCGTAGACGTGGCCCGAATAGGTTTGGGATGCGTCGATGGAGGCGTGTGATGTTCACCGATGAGTCTAGATTCTGTCTGTATCGCTCAGACGGAAGGAAAGTATATATCGCATACGCGGTGAGCGTTTCGCCGATTCATGCATGGTTGAATGCGATTCTGTTATAGTTGGGGAAGGCATCTCCCATGGACTAAAATCCCCTTACTGGTCCTGGATCCATACTATAGATACCAGAACATCCAACCACATGTCCTTCCACTTCTCAAACATCATAGCCTAATTTTCAAGCAAGACCGAATGCTCGACACCTCCCTCTGTTCCCAAAAAAAGATGTACATATATGTAATTCCAAGATTGAGTACGGGAATTTTCGTCAAAAATAAAAAATCGTATTCCTTTCGGTGACTATTTACTAGTTTGTTAATTGATCGCTACGCTGAATCATTGCTGAGATGGAGGGATGGAGATCTAAATCGAGATTTTTTCTTATAGTCGTTTGGGATGTGTATTACTTTAAACTTCACATGAAATTAAAAACAAGTACCGTCCATTTACATGTCACATGCAAAATGTTTAAATTGCAAAACGTGTTAAGTATATCTGTTGATTGTGACGTCACTAATGTGACCTTGTTTTCGAGAATATGATATAACATAGATTTTAACCCAAATTTACTTGTTTGACTGTCGGTGATTAAACAGAAAGTACATTCCGTCTTGTGCCTTTTCAAGTTGGGTTTCGTTTTATACTATTTAACGTCTTATCAACAGCTTACAGGACGACCACACAATATATGCAAGATGAATGCATGTGTTGTGTGCATGTTTTTCGGAAGCTGTGATTTATTCGTGCGAGCTTCCTTGTGATGATACGGAATCGGAGCCGATATTCCAATATTCCAATTAAACCACACTATACAGTATATATGACATTATCACATTATACATTATACTGACTAACCAACTCTACCGCAGTACTGAGTGCCTAGCAGAGAACTAAATAACATTATTAAAGCCTTCCTCCTAGGGGCGAACACTCAGCTAATGGGCGTGAGACAATGTCAAGGGAGACATCAGGAATAAAAGAGAAACCCGGGCGGTGTCAAGGAAGACATCAGGATAAAAGAGAAACCCGGGCGGTGTCAAGGGAGACATCAGGAATAAAAGAGAAACGTTAGTCAGTGTCAAGGGAGATGTCAGGAAGAAGGGGAAAACGTGAGATAGTGTCAAGGGAGACATGAGGAAGAAAAGAGAAACATGAGGCAGTTTCAAGGGAGACATCAAGAAGAAAAGAGACACGTGAGTCAGTGTCAAGGGAGACATCAGAAAGTAAAGAGAAACGTGAGTCAGTGTCAAGGGAGACATCAGGAAGTAAAGAGAAACGCGAGTCAGTGTCAAAGGAGACATCAGGAATAAAAGAGAAACTTGAGTCAGTGTCAAGGGAGACATCAGGAATAAAAGAGATACTTGAGTCAGTGTCAAGGGAGACATCAGAAAGTAAAGAGAAACGTGAGTCAGTGTCAAGGGAGATGTCAGGAAGAGAAGAGAAACGCGAGGTAGTGTCAAGGGAGACATCAGGAATAAAAGAGATACTTGAGTTAGTGTCAAGGGAGATGTCAGTAAGAAAAGAGAAACGTGAGTCAGTGTCAAGAGAGATGTCAGGAAGAGAAGAGAAACGTGAGTCAGTTTCAAGGGAGATGTCAGGAAGAGAAGAGAAACGCGAGGTAGTGTCAAGGGAGACATCAGGAAGAGAAGAGAAACGTGAGTCAGTTTCGAGGGAGATGTCAGGAAGAAGGGAAAAACGTGAGGTAGTGTCAAGGGAGACAACAAGAAGAAAAGGACAACGTGAGTCATTGTCAAGGATAAAATAGAAACTTGAGTCAGTGTCAAGGGAGACATCAGGAAGAAAAGAGAAACTTGAGTCAGTGTCATAGGAGACATCAGGAATAAAAGAGATACTTGAGTCAGTGTCAAGGGAGACATCAGGAATAAAAGAGAAACGTGAGATCCTAAATTTAGTCGCCTCTTACGGTCTTGCTATGGAGGCAGCAGGTACAGTTCTCGCGCTCCATCTGTAGGACTGACTTGTTCAGAAAATATATCCTTAGTTATTTGTAGGACATTCGGAGCACTTTATTTTTAACAACCGTTAGCCGGTAATTTTTGTAGGGATGATATTTTCGTTATTTAGCGGTACTTTTACGTGATTGGAAAATATAATCAGCGAAGGTGTGTAATAGACGTCATTTTACAACCAGTTCGCGAAATTTTTATTTTCAAAATGCAATTCGGTCGTTTTGAAAGAAAATCGCGAAATTTAAACCAACACTCTTAGCTGAAATTTCTCTGAATTAAAAGATTCCAAATTTATATCATGCACTAAATTAAAGACATTAGAGAATCACTGTGTGTTTGACATTTGCAGAACATTCAAACTGATATTTCCTTTAACTTGTCGAATCGGCAAATACAATAAATTTGTCTCCATTTTCGTTTCAAGTGCGAATGTGTGCTCTGTAAATTCAGAACATAGGTGACTTTGTTGACAAAAATCGGAAATACCGCATGCCAAATAGAATCAGATGGAACGATAGCAATAATCTGTATAGACCATGCTGACGTCATACCTCCGTCGATTTCTTGCTTTTTTGTGGGATATTGTGCATGGTAACCAATCAAACAGCAGTTAGTTATGTAACCACTCAAAAGTGGTAAGTTATGTAACGAAAAAAAATCCAGTGAATAGCACAGTTATCTATTTCATTCCTATCACAATTGATGTTGATTTAAATTCAAATGTTTTTTTAACTCATGTTCGAGATAACTTCCTACCAACAAATATGTGCACGCATTGATCAGGGATGGAAAGCGATATAAAAATCAAGAAAATAACAAAATGTCAACATGATCATTATTCAAAATCAAATTCTATAAAAGAAGGGCTAAATATGAAAGATTAACAAGGGCACTCCTGAAAAAGTAAAAGGAGAATAAATTCAGGTGTCTGGAAGAGTAAGTGTCTTCTGCTTCATCGACACCAACCGCCATGCAAATCTTAGTCAATCCCAATAAGTTAAGTCACGTACTCAAGTGAGAACAAGGGAACAAACAGACAAACTAACGAGCATCAAACACGTCCAGCTTAATATCACACAAAGAAATAGAATATTTCTCAATGAGAACACTATGGCGACCATAACATTTCCCCCTGATTTTCATAAACAAGCACCTTTTGAAACCCTTTGTTACGAGTTTGTCCGACAGTTGACGACTTCTCGCACGATAATCGTGATAATGGGAACAAATAATTGAATACCGAATCAACTGTGACACATATTCACATATGTAGAAAGCTGTACATGTTGTTTTCGTTGTAAGAAAAGACCGAGAAAAGCAGCTGGTTTAGAAGACTCCGTCGTGTCTTCGATTTCCAATTCTGGTAAATAAATTTTAGACAAATAAATAAATTTCTTATTATTTAAAGACAAGACGTCATCAAGATATCTGAAAGTGAAATCTAACGACTGTAAGGACATTGTGACTTGTCTTTATATGCACTTCAATAAATTCAGCCTCGTATGAAAATAAAAACAAATAAGCCACAAGAGGGGCGCAGTTATAGTTACCATAAGTATGCCAATATTCTGAAGATCTTTCCACCAAACTCGACGAAGGTGCTCATGTGGTGAGAAACTCATTTTGACAATTTCGTCCTCCGTATATTTCTTCTTTGATTTGGACGTATTGTTTTTATTAAATACACTTCAGTATCGTTCACAACCATATATTTATACAGCCGTTCACCTTCCTTGGAAAGGAAAGCTCTGATAACATGAGAACGAAGGCGTTTCTACAGTTAAGAATGGGGATGTACAGGGTGGTAAAATCAAATGTCCTTAGCGAAGAAATGGTTTTCAGAAGAGGGTGTTGCAGATTGGTGAAAAACTCTTTCGAATTCTTCAATTCTACTTCTTGTGTAAACGGTATCACAATAAGACTGTAACCTAGATTTGACAGCACTAAGAATGGTGCTAAGTAGTTTTGACAAAGGATTGGTTAAACAGCTTGAAAGGACAGCAATAAAACACAATTTATATGGATTCTTGTGAAGTTAAGGAATACAATATAAACGGGTAGGATAGTGTCCTTGTCATTAGTAGGCAATCGAAATTATTGTAATACCAACTGATGATTAGCTTGTGTAGGTGGTGTTCCTTCGTTATCAAGCAAACTCACCTCTTTTATACAGGAAATGTAATGATGTTTGCAGACAAGGTCATATAAATCTTGAAGTGTGGAGTTAACATCTGGAAGAAAATACCCATGTGTAAACATACTCATAATCAATAAAACAAGAGCAATATATGCACCAAAGAAGTAAAAGAACAAGGTTTTCGGAAGTGTTTTCTGCTGCATGGACGAAACCAAACCATTGAAATTTTCTTAAATTTTCTACATGTATACATCGTTTTTATTTATTTATTCTTTTATTAATTTATACATCTTATCAATAGTGAATTTTAGTTGCAATTATTATTGGTATGGTGGCATCCTTTGTTGCATTTATTGGTGTAATATTCAAAGAAATTTATTGATTTCAAGTTTATATAAGATATCCAATTGCGTGACAAAATGGCTACGTCAATATCATTTTATTTCATAGTAAATAACGGGTGTTGATTAATAATTAAAAGAATGATTGAAAGAAAGCCGGACAAAATACCGTGAACTGTCGCTTTAATATTCTATTTGATGTGTGGTAAACATAACAATGATTTGTCTAATTATATCCTGACAATAGTGAACAATCCCTGATCGATAACGGCGTCTGTTTAATGACACAACGGATGCCTGCTCGAGACGATCTAAACCTGTTTGCGCTGACATATAACTGAAATGCATGAACTTTGCTTACATGTGTGAGTACATTTAGTTCTTAATGTCATTGCATTAACTTTTAATTCAATTTTTCAGTACTCCCTCCAAAGATATCTAATCAATATTCCTTATGGTTTAAATCATTATACACCCACATAATTCTGAATATTTAGTTCATTTAAAGACTAAACGTCAATAATACACCAATGGGGTAGACTATTATGTCTGTTTATCCTGTGTAGACGTTTTAATCTTGTGGTATTTTGAGTTTTTACCTTAAATCTAAATGACAAGCATGGCGACATGCAGTTTATAGCAAAGCAATTATCAACTTTAACAGTACACGTGCACTGAATGATGACATAAATACATTAATAACAAACTCTAATCTCGCGATATCTCGCCTAGTTACCGTGCTCTTGACGTGATCCATTTCCGATACAGAAACACCAGGGACTTTATAGCAGCTCTACCGCTCTGTTAAACATTCTTTAAAGCGTAATGGATTGTTATTTGATACATATAATATTGCTGAGTTGATAGCGTTTGATACGGAAGGCAAAGAAAGCCACATGGTCACATTTGAGTAATACAAATTTGTTTAGTTCTAATGTTCAGTGACGAAATTACTTTTTGACCCTAGCATACTCAACGCTGAGCACAAATATGCATCATCACGTGTTCACAAGTAAATAGCCTGTTCGCATGTAATTTTCCAGTAAAAGCAATATATCTTCCCATTTTTCCATCAACGTTAAAGTGTTATGGACGCCTGTGAATGAATAATATAATGTAACCGTAAGAAAATATCACCGACAAAATGTACAGAAATAAGGCGTTTTGTAATTCAATGTTAGAATCAATTTGAATCGTTGTTGAAGCTCGGGAGACAGTTGTATTACCAGCACATGTTTATTCTGGATTAGTGTCCGTACAATCTTCATAAAACATCATGTCTAGAGCAATATAGATTCTGAATCGTGTCTTCTGTTATTCTGTCTCCTCTTCTCAGCAATCGCTTTTCACATTTGCTTTTCTCACTGGTTGTACAAAAAATAAACAACCTGATTTTACAAAAGACAAACAATGGAATAACACTTTTGAATATAATTCTTTATAAACTACAGAAGAGCCAAAGTAATGAATTAAACAACAGTTATTACGTACTTTTCTGACACGTCCGTGATGATAAGGGCCTAAATATTTAACCCGAAGAAAATCAAGTGATCGAAAGAAATGTAAAAATCCAGATGGAGAAGTGTACCGAGTCAAATATCTCAGTGAATTTCTTGATTATCATATCTAATTGTTTTAGAACGAAGTACATTTGTATGTTACTCTCTCTGACAATAAACACTTCGTGGAAGTGTACTTTCTACTTATCTGTAACACAAGACATTATTATCACTATTGTTTAGCAAGACTTCCATGCTAGTCCCTATAAGACTTCTATAATTAAATCAGTCACTATGTGTACTGTGATGAAGTTTAAAAAAACGGTGGTAACTACCATACAAATATTCCCGATAAATGACTAGAACCGACACATTCTGACAGGTGAAATGGCAATTTGAATTTTATCTTCCGTAGCCGGAAATTGATAAAAAAAATTACAAAGAAGCAAATTTACACCTGTGCTGCAATTCCGTTTCGTCACTTCCGAAAAAACAAATATCGATGGGGCTACTTAAAACGAAAAACTGGCTGATTGGCTAATTTAGTTACGTCAAAACCTGAGTTGTCGAATTTAAGTCAAATCAGATTTTCACCTCAGACTTTCATTTTTGTTAACGAAACCATCTTTTTCATTAGCCAATTTTCTTCGTACACCACGAATAATCCCTAGTGTTTCCAATCATAAGATAGCTTATGAGTGTATAAAAGAATTTAACGTTTGAAATCTGTTTGTGGTGTGATCATTATAAATTGTAAAGAAAAGAATTAAGGAAAAAGAAATTAAATCTTGT